TCTCTCTCTCTCTCTCTCTCTCTCTCTCTCTCTCTCTCTCTCTCTCTCTCTCTCTCGACACAGCAGGTCTTATAAAATGTTTGTTAGATTGAATTGAATGAGCTTCTTGTGGGGATGGCACTCAAGTTGGCGTCAGACTTTCTGTGTGATCCTGAACAAGTAATTTACCCATTTTGGTCTGTTTCCCCATCTATAAAATGAGAAAGTTGGCACTAAAGAATCACTAAGGTCCCTGCCAGCTCTAAATCTATGATCTTATGAATGACCCTATCCCCAGAGGTGAATTCAGTCTGGTGCTAACTCAAAGCAGGCCCATTCAAATTGTGCTGCCCTCCAGAAGTCAGTGCTAGTTTGTCTTGCCCCTTGGTTATCCCTGTTTTACTACACTAGATATAGGCCTATTAAATTGGTTCCTAGATCAGACCAGGGTGGCTGGCCTAAGGCTAATAGTGTCCTGAGAGATCTCTGAACTGGGATTGGACCAGAGTCACACTGGCCCTGATCATATCAAAACCATATCTAGAAGTGGGCAGCAAAAAAGATTCTACTGGCAACCAATTTTATGTAGAACTATTAAGTATTGCTTTTTATGCCCTAAGGTAAGTGGCATTTAACATGCCCTCAAATCAGCCGTGGAGACAGAAACTCCAGATACCATTCCCATGAAGAGGAGAGACACTAAGATACTCCTAGGTGTATCTGCAGAAACCACTGTTTGAAAAAATGTAGAGTGGGGTGGTGTTGGGGAGGAGCTCATCTGTGATTTGGGAGTAAGGAGGAAGCTTCTGGAAGCCTCCTAGTTTAAATTATTTTTCTTGCTAACTAGTTTCTATGACACTGTGGGATTGTCCAGATAGAAATGTAACAAAATTTAAAGTTGTACAATCTTTTAAAATCATTGTTTTAAAATTTTGTCCCTTCTGAATATCAGCACTATGGCACAAAGTCCCAGTCTCCCCACCCAAGTTAAAGATTTGGTTCTATTTTTTTGTTCTATTGCTTAATAACTATTTATATCCTTTTATATATTTTTGTATGCATCTATGTTGTCGTCGCAATAGAATGTAACTTCTTTGACAACAGGGACTCTTTCATTTTTGTTTTGAACCTCCAGTGTTTAGCACAGTGTCTATCATATAGTAGGCACTTAAATGCTTGCTGGTTGATTGATGGAGATGAATTGTATCATGATCTAGTTGCTTGCTGCCTGAAGAGCATCTGGGATCTGGACCTTTCCCTGCAAGGGAAAAAGAACTCAAAACCTACCTACAATGATAACTTTCCCTTCTTTTCTCTCAAGCAAGTGAATAAAGCAAGCTGGCTAAACTAAGCCTATGCTAGGAAAGGACCCCTCTTGCCCCAACAGAAGAGCCTAAAGATTCCTGGTCTTGTTCCACAGCTGGGGCAAGGTTTTTCTCTACCTCTCCTCCACTGCTGTAAGAGATAGAGGTGTACAACATTAGTAAGGAGACTTCAACCTCAGACAGAAATACAGGGATCTTCAGATCTCAAAAATCCCAACTGCTTTTCAAGTACTCACATTGGCAAACCTGTTCACAATCCTGCCTGTGGGAGTTGTGTCAAAAAAGCTCATGGGCGCTCGAAGGATGTTGTCCAGCAGCTGTGTGTGCAGGCTTCGGGAGGCATGCCTGCTGCCAAAGGTGGACAGAAGACTTGCCAAAAGCACAAAGAAACCTAAAAGTGGTCATTGCTCCAGTCAGTGCCTTGCTCTGGGTGGAGAAAAGTTGCCCCAATCCTCTTCTCCAACCCCCAGACATGAAATGTTTTTTTTTTCTATTATAGAGAGGAGTCATTAGACCAACCTTGAGCAAATCCTAGAACTCCATAGATTGCAATTCTCAAGTCCCGCTGAGAGGTTGGATAAGTTTTATTCCTGTAAGTCTGGGAGTCACTGGTCCATGCACTGAGCCAGAAGTTGGATCCCATGAAAGCCGCAGAATTTCCCATGTAAGCAAGGAGGATAAAGGTGATAAACCACCATCCCATTGAATTCAGGTACTTCAGGAATATGGACATCTTCACCTAGAAAGCCCCCACACCATCATCATTATCATCATCATCATCATCATCATCATCATCATCATCATCACCATCATTATCACTATCACCACCATCACCACCACCACCACCACCACTACCATCATCATCAATAGGAGATCCCTTGATACCTTTGTGGTTAGGAGCTGCCTGTAATGACCCAACAACCTTGATGAGAAGAGAAGCTGGTAGCAAATTCTAGCAGCCATTTTCCCATGGTGCCTGAGCCTGGGTCAGGCCAATGGACAAATATCCATATGCCCATCAAGGTAAACACTCACCAGGTTGTGAGTGATCCCCTGGAGATAGTATGTGCACGTGGGGGGGGTACAGTGCAAAGGGAAGAGCAATGTTGTTTTCCAATAACATTAATTATATATATCACAATATATTAATATATCACAATATATCACAAACAAACCATATCAACCACAACATCAATTGGCTGAATATAATTCAGATGATGTTTGAAGCCCAGTAGTATTAACCCTCCTGAGCATCATCACTTTCTTACCTATACATTGTTTCTATGGAACTAACTGCTCCCCATAATGTTATTTCACCTGGCATTAGTTTGTTTTGTTTTGTTTTTTTGCAGGAACAATGAAACAATTAAGTAGGATATGCCTGTATACACACTAGGTCTCACCTATGCTTGTGGTTCTGAAATTCTGAGCTAAAAAATGATAATACTAACGCTGATGTTTGTTTGTTAGTTTGTTTACCTTTCCAGTTTCTACCACTTCTTTCTCAATTAGTTTCTGTCCTTTCACCACTTCTTCATTTTCTTTTTGCTTTGGCTTCATATTACCAACTTTTAGGGAATTTCGGAGGGACTTCTGACGTCTGTTGCTGTTAGACCTGGATCTGAAGGGGAGTAGAAAAAGACCATCCCTAGGTGTGCTGAAGGCAGCCTCACAAATCCTCTTTCTGCAAGCAGATGCTGCTCTTTCTAGTTGGGATCCATTCTGATCTACGCAGTCATTCTAGAAGGGCTGACATTTCAATCCTTACTGAAACACACACACACAAACACACACACACACACACACACACACACATGCCTAGTCCCCTCCTCAAGCCTTCCCCTGCCCCTCCATCCACTGAGGCAGAGAAAGATGGTGCAGTGGAAATGACACTGAACTTTGGCATCAAAGGACCTTAAATGGAATCCTATATCACTTACTACCCAGGTGACCTTGGCCAAGTCGCTTGAGTTCTCTGCCTCTCAGTTCCCTCATCTGTAAAACGAGACAATCATACTAGACGGCCTCTGAGGTCTCTTTTACTTCCACATCTAGGATACCTTGACACTAAGAGTCTAACAGCTCCTTTCTTTAGGCTAAATACCCAGGGTAAAATCAGAACACGGAAGCAGCAGGGTCTGCTGCTAAAGGACAGGTTCCCAACCTTCGACTGAGTGTTCGTTGAAAGCTATTCTCTCTTCTTAGGACCAAGGAGACCGCTTCATTAGGAATCTCTTCTACACTTGGTACTAATCCAAGGTCATCTTCATCTTCACTTTCACTCCCATCACCAACTAGAGAGAGACATAAGGATCATAGAAATAGAAGCAAAAAGAGGAAACAGCATTCCTATCTATAGAAACCATACCATTCCCCAGATCGATGCATGGAGAATCTCGATCTTACCCTTTACCCACATGCCAATAATCTCGCAAAGAGACCTCAGTTCTGGATATAGAACACCGTGATGTTTCAGGAGTTATCTGTACCTTTTGCCTAGAGTAGACTGGAAAATGGTGGGAATATTTCCTTTTCTAACCACTACTGCTCCACACATTCCGGGCCTTCACATGAAGCAGATAAAATCTGTTTCAGAGGGAGCTTGATGGCCCAGTGAATGGAATGCTGGATTTGGAGTCAGAAAGATCTGAGTTCGAATCCTGCCTCAGATAGTAGGTGTGTGACCCTGGGCAAGTCACTTAATCAGTTCCTACCTGAGACTCCTCATCTGTAAAATGGAGATAACAGTAGCACCTACCTCCCAGGGTTGAGACACGAGATATTTGTAAAGTGCTTCGCAAACCCTAAAGCATTATATAAATGCCAATGATTATATTGTTATTGTTGTTGTTCAACCATTTCAGTCATGTCTGATTCTTCATGACTCCATCTGAGGTTTTCTTGGCAAAGATACTGGAGTGTTTTTGCCACTTTCTTCTCCAGCTCATTTTACAAATGGAAACTGAGGCAAACAGGGTTAAGTGACTTGCCCAGGGTCACACAGCCAGGAAGTGTCTGAGGCCAAATTTGAACTCAGGAAGATGAGCCCAATATTCTCCTCCACGGCGGTCCCTAGCAGCCTCAGGTGCCAAATGGCAATGGCAGAAGGCGTTCTTACATCAATGGAATCATGGGGCTAGTCTCTGTCCCTATCATACCTAATAGCTCGTGGTTTGTGGATAATGTTGTTTCTCTTTTAATACAACCTGCTTACATGTTAAAGGGAATGAATAGTAAAGATGGACGGTGCCAAGGAGCGATTTTACTGGGTTTGGGGGTTAAGGCTCTAAGCCAATAGAAGTGTAGCATCCCTAACGAGTGGACTTATGTGCCAGGGATGCCTCTGAAGTGAAGGCCAGCAGGGTGTCACTCTTGAGGTTGAGTTGATAAGTGATGAACACACACACACACATATTTTGACATGTTCCATGAACAAAGCTTTTTTTTTTTTTTTAATGCTCTTCTATACACCGCCCTCCCATATATTTCATTCATTCATTCATTGTATCCCAGAGTTTCAGGGACTGAGTCTGAAGTCTGAGTTAGGGACTGAGTCTGGATAAATAATCTCCAAGCACCTTAATTAAAGGTGCTGGTGATCCACACCCAATTTTTAATAGGAACCTTAGCTCATGTATACAGAATAGTAAACCCCATGGCCCGATACTAACTCCCAGGTGCAGTTGTATCTTATGTGACATTCACTCCCATACCTGTGGCCTCTCCTTCCGAGCCGCCTTGCTTGGCATATAGCTTCAGATTCTTGGCAAACGTCGCCCTGTTAGCCAATAGAGCATTGTAGGATCCTTTCTCCACTACGGTGCCATTCGCCAAGACCACAATCTCATCCACTTGGGGAAGGAAATGAATGCCATGCGTCACCAAGAGGCGAGTCTGCAAAATGGAATCATTGGGTATCCCAAGTCCATCATCCGCTCCTGCTGGGGTGGGCTGTAAATATAATCTCCCTCCATCCCATAAAAGCGACCAAGGAAAGGAATGCCTTTGGAACTCACTCTGGCCCCAATCTGGGGGCCCCACTCTACCTCATTTCCTAACTTTTCTCAAGCCCATATTAATAATAATAATAATAATAATAATAATTCTATTCCACTCAAGAGACATAGTGGCACTAACATTTTGAGTTGTTTTGACCAGGTGAAACAATATCAATTTTTTGATTGGTGGGGGAAGGGGGGTACAATCTGTGACCTGAGGGTATACAAGGGGTGTCAAAGGTCTTGGTGCAGTTTAAAAGTTTAAAACTGCACCAAGACCTTTGGGGCACCCTATATAATGAAGCTAATAGGTCCGCAGAATGACCAGAGCCATGGAGCGCTAGCCAATGAAATCAAGCAACACAGGGTGCCTGATTTTGATACAGGGAATTTTATGTTAAGAGGACCCCAGAATAGTTCTGCATCACACAGAAAGGTGAAAAAGAGCATCGGCTCTGGTGACAGAGGACTTCAGCTCTGCCCCTTATTATCAATCAATCAAGAAGCATTTATTAAACACCTACTATTTGTAGGGCACTATGCTTGACTCTGGGTATACAAAGACAAAAAAGAGGAGCCCTCCTGCATCCAGGGAGCTTACATTCTTCTGGGGGACACAGTATGCATGTATATAAGAATACCCAAAGTGAATAAAAACTGATGTGGTGAGGGACAAGACATCAGTCACGGGGGATCAAGAATGCCTTCATGTGGAAGGTGGAACTTGAGCTGAGATTTGCAGGAACCAAAGCACTTTAAGAGGAGGGACTGAGGGACCTCTAGCACAAAGGCAGAGATGGGAGAGGAACAGAATGTGTTGTTCTTGTGGAAAGAAGCGTAACAGCAATTGCAGCCACTTACCGCTACTTTACACGGCACTTTGGAATTCACAAAACACACTTTTCATAACTGGGACACATGCTGCAGTCCCTTTTAAAGATGGAAGAAGGTAAGTGGTTTGCCCAAGGATGCTCAGATGAGAAGTGGCCACACGAATGTGAGACTCCCAGTTCAGTGTTGAACCTAGCTTTGAACTCAATGCAGTGCTATCTTGTCCTAAAGGACTCTGACTCTGACTCTGACACGCACTCTCTCTCTCTCTCTCTCTCTCTCTCTCTCTCTCTCTCTCTCTCTCTCTCTCTCTCTCTTTCTCCCTCTCTCCCTCTCCACCCCAAGGGAGGTAGCTGTGATTGACAAAGAAGCAGTGTGAGTTCATCAGGAGCAGAGGTGAATGATCTTCCATATGTGTATCCCTGGTACACAGTGGGTGCTATATAAATGCTTGATGATGGACGCGTGGGTAGGCTGCCGCAGCTGCCTCCCTTGACATTCTTACCTTGTCTTTCAGTAGCCCATTCGGGCCAATGACTTTGTTGAAAAGATGCTTCCCTACGTGAGAGTCTACAGCTGAGAGTGGGTCATCCAAAATATAGATGTCCGAGCTGTTGTAGACCGCTCTGGCTAGGCTGATGCGCTGTTTCTGCCCTCCACTGAGGTTTATGCCCTAAAAAAAAAAGAAAAAAAAAGCATTTCAGTTCATCCCACTTCTTAGGCACAAGAGAGCTAAGAATAATAATAATAGCTCACATTTGCCGTTCAGTCATTTCAGTCATGTCTAACTCTTCGTGACCCCATTTAGAGTTTTCTTGGCAAAGATAGTGGAATGGTTTTCTATTTCCTTCTCTAGCTCATTTTACAGATGAGCAACTGAGGCAGACTGGGTGAAGTGACTTGCCCAGGGTCACACAGCTAGTAAGTGTCTGAGGATGGATTTGAACTCAGGAAGATGAGTCTTCCTGATTCCCAGCCGAGTGCTCTATGCACTGCACCAACTAGCTTCTCCAGCTCACATTTAAGTACCTGCTTTAAAGTTTACAAATTGTTTTACCTGCATGATCTCATTTGATTCCCACCATGTGCTCTGGGAGTTAGGTGTTATTATTATTATCACTTCACAAATGAGGAAATTGAGGCTTGGAGAGACTGAATAACTTGCCCAGGGTCATGTAGCTAATAAGTGTCTGAGGCTGCATTTGAACTCAGGTCTTCCTGACTCCAGGTCTGGTGCTCTAACCACTGTGCCATTTAGCTGCCCCTTATAGACAATCATTTAGTTGCTCTTTTTTGTGGAGTCCTTACCATCTGGTTTCTCCAGCCTTCTTTTATCTTCAGAATTTCTTCACTATGGACCTCACACAGTAATGCTGTGCTCATGTAGCCCCCCCCCCAAATCAATACAGACCAAAAACACTGTGAGTCACTCGGACGGGGTGAAGAAGAAGACTTCTAGCTTGGGGTTAGAAGTCCAGAGGCCTCCATTACCCTCACCCTCCTAAGGAAGGCAATATAGCATAGTGGAAAGAGCATCAAAATAAGAGCCAGAAGACTTTGGTTCAGGTCTTGACTGCCGCTTACTAACTGGGTGACCTTGGGCGAGTCATTTAACTCCAAAGAACCTCAGTTTATTCATCTGTAAAATGGAGGTGAAGGCAGGCGGTGTAAGGTGGAAAATATTAACACTGGTGCCCAACTCAGGTTGTCATGAGGCACAGACGAGGTGATGTAGGTAGAATACTCTGCACTTTTAAAATACTCATTACTGTTATTACTATTATTATTATTTTTTTTGGCGCTAGGCAATGGGGTTAAGTGACTTGCCCAGAGTCACACAGCTAGTAAGTGTCAAGTGTCTGAGGCCAGATTTGAACTCAGGTCCACCTGACTCCAGGGCTGGTACCATCCACTGAGCCACCTAGCTGCCCTGGCATATTATTATTATTATTATTATTATTATTATTATTATTATTATTACTACTAGTGAATACCATGCTAGAATGCATGGCAGAATGGTGCAGTGGAGAGATGGCTGGAGCCATGCAATTTGGATTCAAATCCTGATTGGACCATTTAATACCTTTGTAGCCTTTAGCAAATCACTTCATCTCTCTGGACCCCACTTTCCTCATCTATGAAATGGGGGTGTGTGTGGATTGGATGACCTCCAAGTTCCCTTTCCCTAAATCTATGATCCTATGACTTCTAAGGACCCTCCCAGCTCTCTGATTCTCGGACCCCAAATCACTTTGAGCTCCAAGTACCTTCTCTCCAATTTCAGTGAGGTCTCCTGCAGGCAGTATTTTCAAATCGGGGAGGAGAGCACAGGCCTCTAGAATCTGCTGGTATCTCTTTTCATCCAATGGGGATCCAAACAGAATGTTGTCTCTTAGGGTGCCATTCTGGATCCATGACTGCTGAGGGACGTAGGCTATGGAGCCCTGGATGGAAAAAGAGAAGATCATGTTGACAATTACAGTTCTAAACACAATGAAAATGAAGGAGCAAAGAGGATAAGATAAGAAAAGAATGATGTTTCTAGTGCTTTAATTTTGAGAAACAGAGATAGGAAGAGGCCACTTGGGCACCCAGTATCTAGAAGCATGGCCAGCACCCACTGCACTGACCATGGAGACATTCACCATTTGATAGTCCATATCTTTTTGGAATTTTGTCTTCCCTGTGTGATCCTCAAGGATAAAGAACAGGAAGATTTGGGGCTCAGGAGGTGAGGGCACAGGGCACATATCTGTAGATACCCAGGTCCTAGTCAACCCTGAATGATTAGGACGAACACAGATATGCCATTGATGGAGGAGGTAAAAAGAACTGCAGCAAAGAGGTAGAAATTAGGTGCCAGAGAATAACATCTGGGATAGCATAGAACTGCTTTGCATACTTCTCAAAAAGAAGATCTGTTTAGAATTGTACCTCACAATAGGGCCATTTAGTGGCAGAATAGGATTGCTCTGAGAATATGACATTTTTGGATAGTCATATGTAACCCTTGGCTCAAAGGGCCAGTATATATGTCAGCTTCTTCCCAGAGTCTTTCTGTCCTTTTAGGAACCGGAGGAGAGTCTGGAATGAGATAAATTCTCTCAAAGCTGGAAGTCAGAAGACCAGGATCTCTCTACTATATAGCTTTCACCAACTCCTCCCTTGCAGGCACAAAGCACTGAGTAATCCATCTTCATCAATGAAGCACTTAGCATAGTGCCTGGCACATAATAGGCACTAAGTAAGTGTTTACTGAATGAATGAATGAATGAAGCTAATCTTATACAAAGGGCCCTTTGACTCAAGGATTACCCATATCCAAACTAACATAATCTAGGAGTAGAATCTGACCTAGTTGGACTGACTGGATTTTGAAGGAGGAGCCTAGACATAGAACGGAAAGGGCAGCCTTTTCAGTCACAATGAGCATGTTTCCAAACATAGGAAGAGGCATTCATTACCCTCATTGCCATGGCATCCTAAGTATCATGGTGCCTTTCTGTCTGCCTTGCAGCTGAAACCTCCCATATATGTGATCTCTCCTCCATTACAGTGGGAGAGCCTTGAGAGCAGGGACAGTCATACTTTTCTACTTGTATCTTTATCACTTTACACAGTACTTTGCCTATAGTAAAAGGTTAATAAATATCATTCATTCATTCATTCATTCATCTCTAGTCCGAGAACAATCCAGAGCTGATGTTATAACTAGGCTTTTACCTCCAGCACATGTTTTCAAATGAGAAAAAAGGGCTAACTGTGACTTCCAGTTTTCAGACCCAAAATGTCTTAATTTCATTAAGAAATTTAATTTTTCAGTTTCCTTAAGACATTGATTCCTGCCTCTACGATCAAATGTCAGAGGTGCATCATCCAGCTTTGTGACTGAAGTTTCCCCTCACCTTGATATTGATGTGCCCATGGATGGGTTCCATTTCGCCCAACATGGCTGCCATTAGAGAGGATTTCCCAGAGCCAACAGCCCCTACCACAGCTACCAGTTGGCCTGTCTTAACGTCCAGAGTCACGCTGAAAGAGAAAAGAGGCCATTTAGGGGAACAAAGGAGGGAGGGAGAGAGACAGAGTTAGACAGAGACAGAGGGACAGAGACATAGAAATAAAGAGACAGAGAGAATCATAGAGAGGCCAAAGCCCAGAGTCTTCAAGGGGAGTCTGGCATGGGGACATCCTTATTCTTCAAAGCTGGAGACTTAGTTTCTCCCTCCATCATTTCTACCAGAGCTATGCCCAACTATTCAATTCAGCACGCTTTTATTAAATACTTACTAAGGATGTGCACGGGAAGAGGCATCCTAGGCCATGGAGAAAGAGCCAGACTTAGAGTCATGCAGACCCAGGATCAAGTCCTGTCTCTGACACATACAGGCCCTGTGACACTGGGCAAGTCATTGAATTTCTCAGGACCCCAGGCAACATTCTAAAAACTATAAATTGCAGGGAAATTGCCAATCTGCATTGGTAAAAGGAATTTTGTCACAGGTTCAGTCCAAAAAATAAAAGGAAAAAAAGACTTAAGATACTGTGCCGGGCAAGGGGGATACGAAAATGAAAATTAAATAGTCCTTGCCCTCAGGGAACTTACATTCTATTCAAGGAAGGCACCCAACATGTTTTCATGAATTCCTGCATTCTAGACAAGACAAATTTCTTAACCCTCCACTTTCCAACACATTTAGAACCATAGGCAATGTCTTCCAGTCTCTTCCAGTCTATAACACAGTTACTAGTCAGGAACAAGGAGGAGCAAAAGAGTCTCAATCCCCACTCTCATTGAGCCAACCCCCAGTCTACCACTTTTCCCATGCATACCTCATAGCTCTAACCATATTTCATTTACACAAATACAGAAATGCACACACACATATTAAGTAAACACACCAATTTACACACACACACACACACACACACACACCCCTTTTCTCTGCCATAGTCATCAAAGCCTCTACCTTATGTCCTCCTAGTCAAAAATTGGTACAGGAGAAGTTGGGATCTAGCATCATATATTTAGAGATTATCTGATCCAATCTCATTTTACAAAAGGCCTGGAAAGATTAATTGACTTGTAAGTGGTAAAGATGGAAGTCAATCTCGCTTCCTCTGATTTCTAAATCCAGTACTCTTTCTAATGTACCCAAGAAATCTAAGACATGGTAACCCATCAACGGATCTCTTTGTTCAGAAAAAAATATGATCTGAATGCCTTCTCCACGACTATCTGTTTCAGAGGAGTTGCTGATCTGCTTTGGTAGAGCTCAGCTCTCTATGGCAATTGGGATGAGGAATCTAGCATAAAAGAAAGGGACTTTTAAACTTGAAAGCAAATTTAATTTTTAGTTTTAAGATCAATGCCCTGTTCTGGAAGTCTTTGTGTTCCACTGGCATTGGCTTTGATAACCCAGAATTCCTCTAAATAATGAAGAAGCTTCAGAGTAGGACTTTAGCAGAGAATATTCCAGTAAAGACAGAATTAAAGACTGTGGTGAGTCTGAGTCAGATCTGTATAGTTCAATACCAATCATACAGTCAAAGGGAAAAGAGATTTCAGTTATTTGGTGCTATCAAATTCTTCCAAACTTTTATCTTGAGGAATTCATCTGACCATGAATCTGTAGCTTTTTTTCTCCCCCTCCTCTATCTTAGAAAAATCTTCTGTCACATGGATTTTTCTGTCTGTTTCACTCAGAGAACTTATACAGAAAAAAGCTTCATTTTAAGGCTCTGAGATCCGTGGCAACAGCAAAGAGAACTCTCCAGAAAATGGCAGAGGAGTTGACTACTCACTTTTGGACAGCTGGCTCGATACTTCGGTCCCAGGTAAAGGAGGCCTCGTGGAACTGAATAGCTTTGCCTGTTGAGAGAAATGTAAGCTCTTTCAGCTAGAGACAAGACAGAACATGTGCCCAGGTCTATCGTTTGAACTGCCCCTCAGTTTCTATTCCAACAAGGTGAATCCCCCTTGTCCCAGACTATGTATTTTTAGAGACTGGTTCCTGCCACAAAAGGAAGTATATAAAAGCTACTAGGATGAGACCAGGATTGGCTCAGGTCTTTGCTATTGTGGGTGTCTCAGACCCTATCCAGTTTCCTTGGCTGGAGTCTTGCTACCCAGACTATCTCCCCCAATACCAGCCATGATCTTTTAAGTCCTTCCTTAGTAGCTAGTTTTGATCAGTCATTGCCTGCCTCTGACCTTCATTTCTTAAAGGCTCCTCCCTCTTCAGAATGCTCTTCTGCTCTTGCTCCTGCTAATGTCCACTCTCCAAACTGCCTTGTGGTTATTCACTTTATATTTATGCTGTTTACACTGTCTATGTGCTTGTCTCCGATATTTGAATAGAAGCACAATGAGAGTAGAGATGGTCTCATCCTTTGTACTCTCATCCCCAGCACCTAGGACAATGCCTGGCTCGTAGTAGGCACTTAATAGATGCTTGTGGATTGATGGATGGCTGGTCTTCACTGCTCTGATTTCCAGTTTCTAGACCCTTCTGAAGATCTGCCTACATCGATACTTCTCCTTTATCTGCATTCATGTCAGTTCTCCTGGCCCCACTTCACTCTGTGCTCATGATTACTATGGTGGCATACCTAACATATGGGGGCCCAGGTTGCATGTTAAATTCATGGATGGCCTATGGCTACAATACATGTCCCTTTATTCTCAGTCCAGTAATTTATCCTCTAGGTCTGTGATGCCCCAGTGGTTGCTCAATATACCATATGGTATATATACTTTTAATATTTAAATATAAAATCGTTTTGTTTTGAGAATTTGGTGACACCCACCCTACTCATTTCTCCTTGCTCCCCTCAATGGGAAAATTATAACTACTATGGAGATGCAAAAATAGGTTTAGGAATCACTGCCCTGCATGCTACTGGTGGGTAAACTTGACCCAGTTTCCAAAAGCCATCATTTACCAGAAGGGACATCTTGTCCAATATTGGATGTATCCAAATTATCTCCAGTCAAGTACTTTTCCAGACGCTCAGTGGAAACACTAACCTACAAGAAAGTACAAAGTATTCTTAAGAATTAAAAGCCACCCAACAAACCTGGGCTCCTCAGTGTTGATGCTCCCTGGTGGTGCCTCACTTATGGAAGTTATGCCTCCAACATCCCCATATGATACAATATAAGATATCTTCCTTCTCTGTGTGTCACTGAGTTTCCTACCTATGGTAGGACCCTCTGACACAACAGAAAGGGATGAAATGTGGAAGAAGTCACTGAAAGTATTCGTGGTTGTGGAGGCTGGAGACTTCTATGGAAGAGGTCACAAAAACTGAGAGAGGAGACTCTTTAACTCACTAGGAGCATCACAGGAACATTTCAAACCCCAGGGGGAAGAATAAGTGGTCAAGTCAAGAAGTGCTCGTACATCAAAGAGAACATTTGTACCTGATACTTTCCAGTGACACAGGTACAATAGATATTATCTCCATTTTACAGATAGTGTAGCTAAGGCTCCGAACTATTAAGTGACTTGACAAAAGTCATACCAGACAGCTCTAGAAGACCAATAAGCCCCTAGAATGGCAGCGTTGTTGGGAAAGGCCCCTTGTCTACCTGGAAAATCACCAAAGTATTCTCAGAACACCCAATGCTTTGAGCAAATAACTTCATCCCTCTAGGCCTTGGTTTCTTCATCTATAAATTGGGGAATTAGGAGAGGAAGCTCTCTAAACCCCCTTCGAATTCTATTATCCTATGTTCTGCTCTATATGATGGGTCATTCTCAGTCCCTTTGAAATTATAGACCCATGCTATAAACCTCATCATAGTATGCTCTTAGCAGCAAGGTAAAATAGTGGAGTCAGGATGACCTGAGTTTGAATCCTGCCTCAGACACTTATTAGCTGTTTGATCCTGGGAAAATCACTTAATCTTTTTCAGCCTCAGTTTCTTAGTCTGTAAAACTGAAATCATAATAGCCTCTACCTTATCGGGATATAATGAAAATCAAATAATATAACATATGCAAAATGCTTTGTATACCTTAAAGGACTGAGCGGTAATCATCATCATCATTATTATTATTAACATTATCATTACTACTACTATTTCTACTCCTACTCATTACTATTATCATTATCATTATTCCTCTTACTATTGCTACTACTCATTGCTATTATTATTATCATTACTACTAACTACTACTATACATTATTATTATCATTATCATTACTAGTACTATTTCTACTTCTACTCATTACTATTATCATTATCATTACTCCTCTTACTACTGCTACCACTCATTACTACTATCCTTATCATTACTACTACACATTATAATTATCATTATTATTACTATACTACTACACATTATTATTATTATCATTATTATTTCTACTACTACTACCACTACTCATTATTATTATTATTATCATTATAATTACTACTGTTGCTGCTGCTGCCACTTACCTGGAGTAGGGTACTAATCAACATTGGGATCATGGCCAGGGGGAAACGGAGTAGGTTAAACAGAGTGATAGAAGTGAAGGCTTTTTGTGCATCCAAAACATTATTCTCATCCACCAGGACATAGACAGTAAAAGTGACCACTGATACCTGAGAATCATAAGGTCATAGAGAAAATTGAATCTGGCCCTCAAATACATACTCTCAAAACATATCATTTGGGGGTCAATCAATTAATGAGCACTTATTGAGCACCTACCCCAACCCTCTCAGCTGAGATTCTTGCCTCATATATTAAGGAAAAAAGTGAGGTCATTTGCCATGAACTACTTCTCCTTTCCACCTCCTCATCTCACATCACTTAAATACCTTCTGACATGATCTCCCCCATTACCTCTGTCTCACAAGATGAAATAGCCTTGCTTCTTACCAAGGCAAAACCCTTTACCAGCACAAACAACCTCATTCCATCCCATTTCCTCCAATAGATTGCCCTTTCTGTCATCACCACCCTTTCATTTATCTTCAGTCTCTCCCTGTCTATTGCACAGTGCCTGGAACACAGTGGGTGCCTAATAAATGTTTATTACCTGTGCCAGGCACTAGGCTGGGGTGCTGGGGATTCAAAGACAAAAATGAAGCAGTCCCTGGTCTCAAAGAGCTTATATTTTAAAGCTCCCGGTGGCAGTACTTTATGTCTTCTCCCTGAAGCAGGTTCCTTCCATTTCCCACATGGGTGCCTCCATCGTAGGTGATCCAGGCAAAGCCCAGTTACACATATAAACATTCAAAAGCTGAAGTATGATTTTAAAAGGACTATTGGTTTGTTAGGGGAAATTTGGGCAGCTGTGGCTTTTTAAGTAAAAGGTGAGTCACTCAGAGTCATGAGGCTCTGGTTTAAGCCGCGGAACACCAGGAGAAGGGATGCAGGTGCAGGTGCAGGTGCGGGCAGAGCGAAAAAAGAATCAGACCAAAAAACACCCTAGGGATGAAGGGAAGGGGCTGAACGAAAGCTGAACAAAAGCAGGTAGGAGCAGCGCGGAGATGGAAGGCTTCAGCCGAGTGACTCCTGATTGGTCAGAGAGAACTAACTTTATTGGCCCAGAGCTCCAGTGATATCTATTGCCCCTCAGCGCCCCCTGGAGTTGGAGAAAGGTGAAACTTTTCATAAGGGTTTGTTGCTCTCTGCTGCTGCCCCTGGCTGAAGGCAGAAAGGGAAAGGGGGCTTTGTAGCTGTTTTGGTTACACAGGCGAGGGTGTGTTGCTCTCTGATCGGCTCACACCAAAAATTTAATAAGAGGCTTTCACCCGTATGCAGTATAGTCAGGGTGTGCTGGAACCAGCCCATATGAGTGGATTGTTAATTTTCTGTGTGCGCATCTGCAAATATTGTTGATTGTCTAGACTTGAGAGTGATGGAGAAAATATTAACAATTAAGATTAAACTTAAAAGTGTGTCTGGTGTACTCTTCCCATGCCTCCCCCCCAGCTGATTGTTAAACATTTTTACCAGTACACCCCTGAATATACCCTACTTTGCCTGTAGGCCCCACTGCATCCCATTTGCTACATATTGATGGGCCTCATCAGAGAAAACTATACCCAGGGTATTAGAGACTGTTTTTGTTTTTTCTTTGTATCCCCAGCCCTTAGCTCGGTGCCTGGCACATAGTAAACCTTTAATAAATGTCCGTTGATTGACTGACTGTCATGTCATGACATGGACGGAACCCAGAACTTTGTGGGGGTGGGGCTGGGGCAGTCGACTCTCTCCAGGAAATTGCCCCAAGGTACCAAAAACACTCATTTCACTGACCCCACTTGTTCCCTCACACTCACCAGAACAGGGACCAGGCTGAAGATGAATACAACAAAGGACTGCAACACAGCAAATGACCGCAAGTTCTTCAACTCCGTCTTCCGAATCCCCTGGATCTGCTCTATAAATGAAGGCTCCCAGGCAAAGTATTTCAGGATCTAGCAATGTCAGAGGGCCACTGAATTTTAGAGCTGAAAGGAAACTTGGGGGTCCACTAGTCCAAAAGCCTTATCTTACAGATTAGGAGGGGTAAGATGAAGTGACTTGTCCAAAGCTATGCAGCAAATTAAGGCCAGATTTCCCGATTCCTAGTTCTTTGCCTTTTCCAGGATACGTTTCTGGTCACCCACACATACACTTTGGAAAGTATTGCCCATCGGGATCTCAGGACAGAATCTCTTGGGCAAAAGTTAGAATAAGATTTCTACAGTGAAATGGAAAGCTTTGGGAGAGAAGCATTTGAGCTGTGCATCATGTCAATGCAAGGAACCGCAAGATCAAGAATGCAAGTCTTTGAGTAAGTTCAAAAGCTGAGAGGGCAGTACTTCGACATTTCAAGAGCCTAGGATTTTGCTGTATGAATAGTCCCTCCAAAAATGTAGATCGCAGCTTCAACATAACTTATTAGATGGTCTTCAAGAGTAACAGTGGCTGAAGAATTCATCACTCTGGTGACAAGCAGGTGATGAAACTCTCTGAACTAAGCTAAACTGGTCCTCAGACAACAGCAGTCCATCTCCAGGTCCCTACTCAAAGTCTTTCCAGCTTGGCAGTGACTGCCAGAACTCTCATTCCACCAACACGGCCTTGGAAAACCCTAGGTCACCATTACACCACAAAGGGCCATTGGAGGATGGATAACTTTAATGGAGGAATAAGGGGCAGTAAGATATGGAAAATGAGATTCTGTAGGGTGTCAGCTGGACCATGACACTCAGCAGGACAAAGGGATCAGATCTCTGAATTGTTCATGAGTCAGGAAGCTTAAGTATGTCATTACAGGTTCAGTGGATTTTTAGTCACATACTTATAAGAGTATTAGGGATTTTTTTTTTCTTTTCAAAGCAACTTTCTCTTGGGCTCAGGGAGAGTAACTGATCTTTACAGCTGAGAATAGGAAACCCACCATCATGGGGTGGTATGAATGAAAAAGGCTGTGGGTCTGGGAGAATAGCTTGCATGCTCTTATTTAAAACCATTCAACCAAGCCACTTTAAATACTGTCTACCACTTTCTTTCTCTCTTAGGAAAACAAAAATCACACTTCTTAATTACGTAAACAATTATGTCAGGCAGTGTTTGTGAACTACTCCGAAGCCAATTTTGGGTGGGGGAGGGGAAACAAGATTCTTCCTACAAGTTCCAGGGCCCTGATTTCATTTCCAACTTGGAACAACCTCCGGCCATCATGAAATAGTCTGTGGAAAAGATTCAGCTTGGTATTTGCTTAATATTTGCCAGAGGTAGCAGACCTGGGCAGTATTAGCTCATACAAAAATGTCCGTCGTGTTCAAGTTTTAAAGCCGTTTCAGGATCTTATGTTGCTCCCCTCTGATGGGCCATCGTGTAAGTGAATTCTCCCTTTCCCCATCCTTTAGCCACCCCTTTATTATTAAAAGAAATTTTTGTTTTATTTGTCTCTTCCCCTCTTGGATTTTAACTTTCCCAAAAAGGTGCTTTGGTTAAACATGTTAGGGATCCAAAAATAGCCTTATTGATCAAATTGACCCAAGTTCAAATAGTGTTAGAAATTCTTTTGTATAAAAAAACAAAGAGAAAAAAAAATCTTGGTATGACTTTGAACCTTGAAGTATGGTTTTATGTATTTATTTGGTCAGTTTTAAACTCTATAAAAACCACAGCATATGCTGGAGGAGGCCTAGCACAGGACAAGGAAAGGGAAGGGGACCCTGCTGGTTGGGGGTGGGGGCTTTGGGTGGGTGGGCTCCCCATGTGCTGTTTCCAGTCTTTCTGAGCCCACATGAAGTCCAGCTGGTGACATGCTGCGTCTCCCCTTGTCCCGTTACTCTTTCTCATGTGTGCTGTATGTGTTAATATTGCTCAGATTGTGGAAAAACTATATAGTTCGTTTTGGACTCTCACAAACCTTGCCTGCTTTTCACAAGTGTTACAACTGAAATATTTACCAAACTGTTTTCATAATCCTGGAGAAGGCTGCTTTTTTGAATTTGTGCTATTGACACTCCTTACTGTATAAATATAATTTATCATTTGTGTCATAAAAAAAGAAAGTCAGGAAGCTAATGAATGCCTATGATCACACTGGGGGGGGGGGAGGCGGCCCCAGGCTCTGCTTCTCACCTTTATCCCGCTGAGAACCTCATTCATGAGCTTCAGACGCTTGTCCTTGTTCTTCATGTTATCAACCTGCCAGGGGGGAAGGAATATATGTATGTATGTATGTATAAGTATATATATATATATATCATATACATTCACACCTATGTGTATATATGCACATACATATATACAAGTATATGTGTGTCTATATATACATACACACATGTATTTATATATGAGGCAGCTAGGTGGCTCAGTGGATAGAGCACTGGGCCTGGTGTCAGGAAGACCTGAGTTCAAATCCAGCCTAAGACACTTACTAGCTGTGTGACCCTGGGCAAGTCATTTAACCTCTGCCTTAATCCACTGGAGGAGGAAATGGCAAACCATTCCCGTATCCTTGCCAAGAAAACCCCATGGACAGCATTGGCACACTATAGTCCACAAGGTCACAAAAAGTAGGACACAAATGAACAACTGAGTAACAACAAATATTACTTATAAACATCCACGTATGCATGTACATGTTGAAAATGTATTGTGTGCATCTATACACACATGCATACAGATACACATATGTATATTGCATGTGTGTATATCCCACTTCAGATCCTGTCCCCTTCCATCTTCTCTAGAAGATCTCCTCTGCTATCATCCTTGACTTCTCTAATCTTCTATTTCTCCCTATCCACAAGCATGTCCACTCTCCCTTATCCATAAAAAATACCTGTGCTACATCCTACATTCACAATAGCTACCATCATGTATCTCTCCCACCTCTCCTTAGTTAAATCTCTTGAAAAAAGTTATCTACACTCAATGCATCTATTTTTTCCTCTCTCTTTTAAACCTTCTGCCATCTGGCTTTTAACCTCATTGTTCAAGTGGAACTGCTTTTTCCAAAGTTGCCAAGTTCTGACAAATTGAAAGGTCTTTTCTCAGTCCTCGCCCTTCTTGATCTCTGTGCAGCACTTGAAACCATGAACCACCTTCTTCTCCTGGATATTCTCTCTTCTCTGGATTTTCCTGGACTCTGCTCTCTCTCTCTCTTGGTTTTCCTGCTATGAGTCTGATCACTTATTCTCAGTCCCTTTTGCTGGACTTTCCACTATGTCATTCCTACTCACTGTGGGTGTGCCACACAGCTTTGCCCGGGGCCCTCTTCTCTTCTCTATTTATATTCTCTCATTTGGTGATTTCATCAGTTAGAAAGAATTCAAGGAACATTTCAATATCAACTTATTCCCAGATCTATATATTCAGCCCTAGACTCTTTCCTGAGACCCAGTCTGAATTAGCAACTGCCTACTGAACATTTCAAACTGGTTGTACTCTGGCATCTCAAACTCAACATGTCTAAAATAGAACTTATTAACTATCCTTCCCCCAACTCATTCCTTTTTCTGTAGTTTTGTATCACTGGGAACCTGTGGCCTTGAGGCCACATGTGGCCCTCTAGGTCCTCAGTGCAGCCCTTTGACTCCAAACTTCAAGTTTGGATTCCTCTTAGAATCTCGCTTCCTTGAAGATTCAGCTCATATAAAAATAATAATTGATAATAATGATTTAAAAAAGGGGGCAGCTAGGTGGCACAGGAGATAGAGCACTGGCCCTGAAGTCAGGAGTACTTAAGTTCAAATCCAGCCTCAGACATTCATTAGTTGTGTGACCCCAATCCACTTAACCCTGATTGCCTCCCCAACCAAAAAATTAAAAAAGATTCAGCTCATATGCTACTTGTTGAAAGAAGATTTTTCTTCTTATCACTGCTTCCCCCCCCCCCCGCCCCCTCTTCCTCTTTAAGGTCACCTTCCATCTACTCTATACATATCTTGTATAAACTGTTTATGTACATGTTGTTTCTCCTGCTGAAATGTAAGTTCCCTTTGGGCAGGGTCTGTTTTTGCTTTTTTTTTTGTATCCCCAGTATTTAGCACAGTGTAAGTGCATTGAGCACATAGCAAGTACTTAATGGATTAGTGAACAGTAATATCATTTTCCTGGTTTTGCTTTCTTCATTTTTCATCATTTCACCTAAGTCTTACCATTTCTTTCCTTCACCCAGGCTATAAACCCAAACTTTCATATCCAGAAATTATAAAAGAGAAAGAAAGGTTTCAGATTACATTTCCACGTGTTAAAGGGATGAAGTTATTCCCTTATGTTCTTACCTGAATTGCTCTGCTTTTGGTGGCCAGTACTGCATTAATGGGGATAAACAGTATCATTAACGCTAGACCCGCAAGGATAGAGGGTCCCAGCTCCATCCACAAGAAGATAATAGATAACACAATTTGAAAAGGGCATGACCATAGCAGGTGAATATAGTTGGTCATATCCATAAATCTCTGGGCATCCACAGACATCAGGTTCACTGTTTCCCCAATAGTGTACTGCTTCCGGGCTTTGTTGGAGATGGTCAATGTCTAAAGATAAAACCTTAAATTAGTACCCTAGATTACCACCACTTTGGAGCTGAAGGAGAGGGCCTTAAAGGCAGCCTTTTATTGAGGAAAATAAGAGAGCAAGGAGAAAATAATTAGTTAACAAACAACTTATTGAGTGATTGGTTCTGGCCTTGGACACAATGGATGGAGGAACGTCATTCTGAGCCATCTCCACGTCAGGGCAGTGTGGCTACTTGTAGCAAGTGAAGAACTTTTGGAGTGGAGAGAATCATGGAAACCGTACTTGAGGTCAAATGACCTGCCTTTAACTAGACATAATTCATTATTTCTAGGGTCTGAGCCTTATTGGCATAAACCCATTGGTTTATGGATGGAGGAACATGTTTCTGAGCCATCCCCCATGGGAAGTGGGGACCACTTACAGCACGTGAAGGATTCTTAGAGTGGAAAGAACTCTTTTCCTCCACATCTGAGGTCAAGTGAATGACCTTTTATCAGATACATTTTGTTATTTCTGGGTTCTGAACCTTGTGAGTATAAACCTCTTATTCTTGTGTGTGAGATCAGGTTAGATCCACCTCAATCGCTACTTCTCTCACCAAATCTCTCTGTCTCATGAACTTTTCGATCCACCAATGCACTAATTGGGGGGACGTACCAGATTTCTTGGTCATGATATGGAATCGGAAAATGCCCTGAATGCCTGGAGCATACAGCTACTCATGTTCCTTTCCCTGGACTTAAGGAAGCAGCCGGATAACCCCATTTCTGCCACTGGGCAAAGGCCCATTTGCCTTCTGCAGTTCTCCAAACATAAAGGATGATGGGAAAGACTGACCCCAGACTCTTCTCCTTCTGTTTTCTTATGATAGCTCCAATCATAGCAGCTATTTGGGAGCAGGGGTTGTTTTCCGAAGGAGGCCCATGATTCTGCTTACCTTCCTATAAATCGAAGCCACGAGGGTCGTCCGCACAGTCATGCCCAGGACGAAACAGTACTGGAAGTACCACTGGAGGGAGAAGGACTGGATGAGGGCCACCACAAAGAAGAGGACAGAGTACACGTAGCCTTTCCACACATATGTTGAGAGGTCACTAGCAAATGAGATCATCAGCCTGCCAGAGAAGAGCCAAATAAATCAGTGACATCAGACCTCCAAGGACCATGAACCCCTCACTTGGGCAGACAGGTAGGGCCCCGTTATATTGCTGGGGACGAGAATTGCTGGTGTGCTGATCAGCCTCCTGGCTTGACAGTCATGCCTCCTTCCTCCCACTCCGCCCTCATCTTTGCTGAGAGTCGGGCCAGATTTGGAATTGAAGGATCTAGTTTCAAATCCTGCATCTGCCACTTACTGACCTTACGACCTTGGGTCGTCCCTCCCCCTCAGTTTCCTCATCTACAAAATGAGGAAGTTATTCCTAATGATCTTTAAGGATCCTTCCCGCTCTAAGTCTTTGATCTTATGAGAAATAGCCAGAGTGGAGTTGGCAATGTAAGGCACTGAAATTATCTTTCCCATTTCTTAGCCTAACGTCTCCTCTCTTCCTTTGAATGAGCCTGTCCTGAGTGCAAGTTGGGTAGACTGAGGGAGTTAGAGCTGCCTTTGCTCAGCTGGAAATGTGGACTTGCTAAGCAAGCAGGAGAAGCTTCCCATGTAAATTGAAAGGGTTTCTCCTCTAGGATAGTGCTTTCAACAGACCACAGGAAAGAAGAGTTTTGTAAAGTGCTAGAGAATAACTAATCCAACCCTCTCATTTTACAGCTGAGTAAAATGAGTCCTAGAAAAGATCTCAAAGTTGCATGGCTAAAGACAGGACTAGAACTCAGGTCCCAGGACTCCTAGTCTTGCACAGGTTATTACAATGCACCTAAATCCCCATTGGACAGAAGGCACTCATCAAAAGCAAAATAAGAGTGGCCCTCTGGCAATGTAGGCTACCAAATGCACTTTGTTTGGTCAACAACAATTCTATTGTGCAGGAAACATGATCTATGGGTCTCTCCTAGGTTTCCCTAAAAGCCCAGTCTAATCCAACAAGCATTTATCAAGTGCCTACTATGTACAAGACATCTTCCTAGGCTCCAATAGACTAAAGACTAAATGAAAAAGCTGCTTTCAAAGAGTTTTCTTTCTACTGGGAAAACGCCACAGGTGAATAGATAAGTGTAATATACAACAGATACATAAACACAATATAGACATAAATATAATACAGAACAGATACACAACTTAAGTGCAGAGAGTACTAGCAACTAGAGGGATGAAGAAGACTTTCTGTAAGCAGTGGCGTATGACCCATGAGCCTTGAAGAAGCCAATGATTCTGAGACACAGGTGAGGAGGAAGTGCATTCCACCCACGGAGGTCAGGCTGCTCACAGGCATGGAAGCCAGAGGTAGAACATTTGTCTTGGGGAATAGCCAATAGACTAGTATGGTAACCACACAGGGTTTGGGAGGTGGAGAATCGAGTTTGGGGAATAACAAGTTGTCCAAATTGGCCAGAATTCAGAGCGTGTGAAGGAGAATAATGTGAAACAAACTTGAAAAGGTAGAGCAGAGCCAGATTGTAAAAGGCTTTAAATACCAAGCTGAGCAGCTTGTATGTTGTCAGGGAAGCAATAGGGAGCCACTCTTGATTAAGAGAGTAATAGGGTCAGATATGCTTCAGGAAGATTATTTTGGCAATTGCCCAGAGGATAGATTGAAGAGGGGACAGAATGGAAAACGCTATTTGCACTAGACCAGGCAAGAGGCAATGTGGGCGGAAACTAGGGCAATAACCACGTGAATGGAGAAAAGGGAAATAGGGTTAGATGCAAGAAAAGCTTGGAGATGGTGGGGGGAAGTGAAAGGGACCCACTACCATTTCCATCTCCTTAGGTTTTGCAAATTGCCCCTTTGTTCTCAATCAACTAAATGCAGTAGGTAGCAGTGAAAAAAGCAATGGGCTGATAGAGTCTGGCCTTCTGCCTGGATAGACCAGTCATCTATGCCCCGCAAAGATAGCATGATGCTCCACAACTCACTTTAGGAGCTGAGGACTCACAAACGCCAGGATGTCTTGAATCAGCTTGTATATGAAGGACTTTGCCAAAATACCACGGAAAGTTTTAAACAGGGCTTTCATCAACCAGGACTTGGCAAAGTCTTCAGTGGTTCCAGATATTGACTCTTTCTTCTTTTTTTTCTGTTTCATGTCTTCCTAAGGGCAAAAGCAAATCATTGAGAATGGCTAGAAGAGCTATGAGTGAGGTGCCTATCAGTCTTACAAAGTGGATATCCAAGCTCACGTATGTCTTTTGCATCACATCTGAAATTTGAAAGCCCAGGGACAAAGACATAGAGCTCAATTTCCCCAAATTTGAAATGATTGGTAATCATTCTTGCCTTTGGGCTCACTTTTTCCAGTTTTCTAATTCTGTATATTCGACCCAGACCTTCTTTGGGTAGGGTCTCTGTTCTTTCCAGCGCCTTGGTTTGGCTCTTGGTCCAACATCCAACCACTCCACCGCTCCTTCCTCCTCTGGGCTCTGAATCCCAGCACCTCCAACCCTCATGCAGGCTGCAGCTACTTCCACAATGCTTGTGCATTAATGGTTAACCCTTTCTCAGCCATTGCTGATGGGATATGTCTGTCACTCTGCTCCATCCAGGCCATTTTCCTTACCTTCTCCTGGAACTCACTGGGCTAATTCCTATCCTCTGCCCCTTCCCTGATGCTATATTCTCTCCTTAGTCTTCCCTCCCCACTCCTTTCTACCTACTTCAAGATCCTTCAATTCAACAAATGTTAATTGTGTCATTGTCTCCACCTCTAAATTCTAAGACCTGAAGTTAATGGTCACCCAGCGTCGAATAGTATCATGCAATACCTCTCTAGTGGAGACTGTGTTACAATGAACCACAGAAGTTAGGGGTTACAGGTGTTTGGGAGGTATCCTGATGGTCATGGTGATACATTAAGAAGATCATCCTGGTAATGGTGTGGAGGAGAGATTCAGGGAGAAATCCTGGCAGCTGAGACACCAGACAGGGGACAAGATTGGGCAAGGGGTAATGAGGTCTTGAACTAGTATATTGGATATAGAAATAATCCTAACTAACATTTGTACAGTGCCCTAACATTTTCAATGTACCTTCCAATGTACCTTAGCTTATTTGCTCTTTACAACAACCCTGTGAGAAGTTAAGTGACTCATCCAGGAGCATATAGTAAATGTCAGAGGCAGGATTTGAATCCAGCTCCCCCCTGACTCCTGTATGTTTTTCAGTAGACTGTTCTGCCTTTCATGGAAATGAAACAAAAAGGAGAGGACCATGCAAAAGATACTAGAGAGAAAGACTCACCATGATTTGGTGACATTTGTGTGTCCAGGTGAGGAACGGGGGAAGAAATAAGTACCACAGCTGACTATCAGGTTTTGAGCCTGAAGGACATAAAGAATGTCGGTGCCGTTGACAGAAAAATGAAAGACCAGGGGAAGAAATTATTGTGGGAGGAAAATGACTTCCATTTTGGATGTGTTAAACTTAAGAAGTCAGTGGGACATCCAACTGAAGATACCAGGGAGAGGGTTGGAAATGTGGGCCTGGAGTTCAGCAGAATTTCACCTCTAGCTATTTTAGCTTAAGCTCTCAGAGGAAATGAGACAGTCAATGGAGAGGGTGAAGAGAGTGGGGCAAGGGTAGAATCATGGAGAACAACTCTAGATAGTCAAGGCTCACTGAAATCCCAACCTCCTTCACAAAGCCATGTCTGAGGAACACTCTTTTCTCTTTGTTTAGTCGTTTCAGTCGTGTCCAGTTATTCATGACCCCTTTTTGGGATTTTCTTGGCAAAGATACTGGAGTGGTTTGACATTTCCTTCTCCAGCTTATTTTACAGATGAGGAAACTAAGGTAAATAGGGTTAAGTGACTTGCCCAGGGCCACACAGCTAGTCAGTGTCTGAGACTGGACTTGAACTCAGGAAGATGAATCTTCCTTGACTCCAGGCCCAGTGCTGGGTCACCTAACTGCCCTTTCTCTTTACTTTGATTTGATCCATCTAGGATATATTTATTAGGCACTTACTATATGCAAGGTACTGGGAATACAAAGAGAAGATGAAAAGTAGTCCCTGCCTTCAAGGAGCTTCCATTCTATAATTATGATGGCTTAGAGCTTTCTAGTACTGCTCTCAGTTAAAGAGCTCTAGATGGGGGCCCAGGACATTTAACTTCTGGCCTTAGTTCAACCTCATGCTATGTTACTTGAATCTCTCTGAGCCTCAGTGTCCCCATCTGCCCCGAGGATAATAATACCTTCTCCATATACCGTTGGTATCATGGCGAGGGTCAAATGAAATAATCTATCTGAAAGCGCTTTGAAAATTGCAAAGTGCTTTACAAATATAGGGCATCATCCTCCCTGTTATTACCACGTACACGGACATGCACCTAAGATAGGGAAGCACGTGCAAGTGCTTGTGCGCTCACACACGCACGTGTGTCCACCAGTGCTCTGAGAAAGTTACCAATACGAGGTTGTCTCGGCTCTGACTAGTGTTTGGGCCATTCATCCTGGCTTCAGACGTCTCCCGGGATATCCTCTTCTGACACCGTTTCTGCAGTGCCTGCTTGGCCTTCTTTACCTCTATTTCCATGTACTTTGTAAATATCTTAGAGATTTCGTGGGTTTTCTCTTTTTCATTCAAATCCCAGACATCTTCCAAGGTCAAGGGTTTCTTATAACCTTTCACAATGATTCTGTAAAACAAAGTTCACAGGATTATTGAGCTACAGCCAGAAGGGGTCTTCCAATCTCACCTTCTTGGCTAGATCCTTCCCCCCTCACATTTCTCTCACCTTTTGGAAAATAAAAACAAAACACCAACCACATCACCTTCACTGGTCTCTGCGGCCTCCTCCACCCTCCTATTTCCTTAATTTTTTTTCCTGACTAATTTTTCCAAAGGATTCATATTACCACATATTTCCTTACCACCTGCTCATTCTCTCTCTATTGTCTGTCTCCTATCCCGGCATTCTACTGGAAATGACTCAAGAGTCACCAGGAGCCCCTAAAACAACACCACTAAGCCCTTATCCTCCTGGATCTTTGTAGCATTTAACATTGCTGATCCTTCCCTTTGTTCTTTCTTTATTTTTTTTAAACACATTTTTATTGACCAACCTCTTGTTCTTTAAATACTTTCTCGTTTCTCTCTCCACAACATCTCTCCCATCCAACTCCTTCAACAAATATTCATTAAGACCCCCTAGTAGGCACCCTGAGAGATTTTTTAAAACGAAAAAAAAAAATGATCTCTGCCCTCAAACACTTACTAGTTATGGAGATAAATGATGACATACATAGAATACAAAACTTTATGTGGCAATTCTATGATATAAGCAGAGTGTTACTAGACTTCACAGGAGAGATCATTTTTGGCTGAGCTTTTCATAGAAGGCTTCGTAGAGATGGCCAGTATGGACAGATAGAATTAGGATAGCAAGAGGGGTGTTATCAAGTTGGTGGGAGAAGAGGCATTTTAGCTGGAGGGGATAGCCTGGTTCAAGATATGGAGGCAGAAAAGTATAAAGAAAGTGCAGAAAGTAGTGAGTGGAACAGTATGGATAGGAGGTAGCAGGAAACAAACCAGGAATGCTTGAGCGAGATTATGGAGGGCATTTCTTGACAGACTAAGAAGTCTTGAGATGGGGAGTCATTACCTTAGTTCTTATCCCCTCTCATCTGAAGTACTGAAATGGCCTTCTAACTGGCCTCCCTGCCTCCCATCTCTCCAACCCATCCTCCAAATAGCTGCCAAAGTGATTTTCCCTAACTGCAGATCTGACCATGTCACTCCCCTACTCAATAAACTCTTATGGCTCCCTATTGCCTCTAGGATCAAATAGAAAATCCTTTATTTGGGCTTTAATGCCTTTCACAACTCAGCTTCAACCTGTCTTTCTAGCTTCATTCTATATCATTCTGTGGTCCTGCCTCTTGTCATTATTGTGATTCTATGCAAGTCTCCATTTTTTCTCCCATCTCTCTCCTGAACTCCAGTCCTTGCATTTCCAGTCACTTATAAGACATCTCTGTCTGGATGGTCCAAGCGTTGCCTGAAGCTCACTCTATCTTAAACCTAATTTACCACTTTTCTCTCCCTTCCTCACCCCCCTCAGACAAGCTCTGACTTGCCTATTTCTGTTAATAGGTCCACCAATCTCCTAGGCATTCAGGTTCGAAGTCCTGATGTCCTCATTAATTTTCCCCTTGATTCAATTCTTCCAATTGATTCCTGTACTTTTTTTCTCCAGAACCAGCTTCCCGCCTAGACCTCCATTGCCATTTCCACCACTGACATTCAGGCCTTCTCAGCTCACACCTGCCTATACGGCTGAATTCTTTCTAGTCCTCTTTCATGCAATTTCGCTATAGCAGTGGCCTCCTAACTGGCCTCCCTGCCTACAGGCGCTCTCAGCTTCTAATCCGGGGATGGGGAACCTGGGGCCTTGAGGCCACGTGTGACCTTTGGGTGTGGCCTTCTGACTGAGTCCAAGTTTTACAGAACAAATCCCCTTAATAAAAGAATTTGTTCTGTGAAGTTTGGATTCAGTCAAAGGCCCACATTTGAGGATCTAGAGGGCCATATGGGGCCTAGAGGCCTCAGATTCCCTGCCCCTGTATCTACTTCTGGTACAACAAATTGCCATTAGATTAATCTTTCTGGAGTATTAGGTGGATTATGTCACCTCCCTGTTGAATGAGTCCCCATCCTAGACTTCTTAACTTGGCATCCAAGGACTTCCATAATCTTGCTCAGTCTTTCCAGCTGTGTCTCCTGCCCCTCCCTATCCATACTGTCCTACTCATTATTTTCTGACCTTGCTTTTTGCCCTGTTTTGCCTCAGTATCTTCACTCATGGTTTTCCCTCTAGCCAGAATGATTCTTCCCCACAAGTTTGAGAAGAGTGGGTAGCATTTAAAGATTCACTTTATGGTTTGCAAAGCACTTTGCACTTGGTATCTCCTTTGATCCTCATAACAACCTGTGAAGTGAGTGCTATCATCAACCCCATTTTACAGATGAGGGATTTGGCTTGCCCAGGATCACACAGCTTGCATCTGAGGCAGGACTCAAATTCGGGTCTTCCTGACTCTAAGCCCAGGGCCCTTTCCACACCTCTGACCATCAAAAGTCTATCCAACCATCAAGACTGTCTCTATGAAGTCTTTTATGAAAAGCCCGGATGAAACTGATCTCTCCTTTCTCAGAAATGTGGAAGGACTTTGCCGATATCATAGTTAGGGCCCTTGCCACATAAAGGTCTGTTATCTCTGCTATACGTAGCTAGGTGGCGCAGCAGATAGAGTACAGAGCCTCAAGTCAGAAAGATGACTTTGTAAGTTAAATCTGGCCCCAGACACTTACTAGCTGTGTGACCCTGGGCAAGTCACTTAACTCCGTTTGCCTCACTTTCCTCCTCTGCAAAATGAGCCGGAGAAGGAAATAGTAAACTACTCCAGCATCTCTGTCTAGAAAACCCCAAGTGGGGTCATAAAGAGTTGGACGCTGTAGATACAACTGAACAATAACATGTCTGCTATTGGATTGTAAGATCTCTAGAGCAGGGGTCACAGCTTTTTGTTTTTGTAATCTCCCAGGATAGCTAGTACAGGGCCTCACTTAATAAATATATGTTGAAATTAACCATGGTGTATTTTGGGGGAAACTTCCAAGGAACATCAACAGCTTTGACCTAGGAGGGGGAAGCTTACTAGGCTGGTGTAGTTGTTGTTGTTCAGTCATTTTTCAGTTGTGTCTGACTTTCTGTTACCCTATTTGGGTTTTTTTTTTTTTTAGGCAATTGGGGTTAAGTGACTTGCCCAGGGTCACACAGCTAGTAAATGTCAAGTGTTTGGTCTGAGGCCGGATTTGAATTCAGGTCCTCCTGACCTCAGGGCCAGTGCTGTATCCACTGCACTACCTAGCTGCCCCTGGGGTTTTCTTGATAAAGATACTGGAGTGGGTTGCCATTCCCTTCTCTAGCTCATTTTACAGATGAGGAAACTGAGGCAAACAGGGTTAAGTGACTTGCCCTGGGTCACACAGCTAGTAAGTGTCTGAGGCCAGATTTGAACTAACTCCAGACCTGGTGCTCTATCTGTTACACCACCTAGCTGCCCATTGGACAATAACTACCTAAAACCCATCTCTAGTCCTGTTCCTACACTCACTCAGTATCTCTTATGGCTGCTATCAGTTCTTGTGCAACAAGTTGATGCCAATGCATACATTGCATTTGTACACTTGGACTGTTAAAAATTATAGCCAGGGATGTTTGTCTCTCCTTCCCCTGTCAGTGCCCTTCTTTCCCATCCCCAACGCCTAGGAAGCAAACCTCCAGTCACCCATCTAGTTATCAGCTAGCAGTGAACTAACTTAATACACTTAAGACACAATGTCCTCTGTTTGTATTTGAATGAGGAACTGTGGAAGTCAAAAAAGACTTCTAAAGTCAACAAAATGAATCTATAATAGTGGGATTAAAGACAGATTGGTAGGTAACTATCAATAAAAAAAAAGCTTGAACTTAACAGTCCAAGCTTACTTTGTGTCCAAAACGGAAGGGAATCAGAGACTGGCTCCATATCCACTCTTATGTAACTTTCCATGTCCTCTAGAAAGAGTGAGGGGGAAGGGGAAGAGACAGTGCTGAAGGATCGACCCAAACCCAAGGTGTGTCCTACCTGTCAAACCAACTAAAGGTAATGGAACTAAAAAATGAAGCCGTGGCTGATGGATTCTGCAAGACACAGAAAAAAAAAAATCAGACATAGATACAACAAGAAATCTTGAGATCAGGAACAGTTCATTGTCCCACAGGGCAGACATTTCCCCAGGTTTAATCTGTTGCCCTGGAATCTGCCAATCAAAAGTATTTGTTGAGCATGTTTGAAGTTCCCAACGTGCTAATAACTGGTACATGATTCATCAGGAGTTTACTCTAAAATAACTGCCTATTACATAAATGTCCCAGGCTGAAGACTAGGAGAGCCTTCTTTTTTTTTTTTTTTTTTTTTTTTTAAGGCAATTGGGGTTAAGTGACTTGCCCAGGGTCACACAGGTAGTTAGTGACAAGTGTTTGGTCTGAGGCTGGATAGAGCCTTCTAAAAGCAACAAGTCAATGCTACAGCCACCCCCTGTTTCTAAAGCCCTTGAAAGGGTCTCTACCACCCTATCCTGGGTTTCCTGGATCCCTAGGTGGGACTACTGAGGTCGCTGTCTCTCAAAAGACTAAAAGAATGTAAGCTTTTGAGGACAAGAACTGTTTCACTTTTGGTTTTGTATCCCTAACACATAGCCCACTGACTGCTTAGCACATTAATCGATTAATAAATGTATGTTAATCGAATGACTGACTGACTACCCCATGACGTGGTGGGTAGGGAGCCAAAATTTCAAAATCTCACATTTGATGCTGCTTTGGTTTCTGGAGTCCTCTCTGAAATGGATGACACTATCATAACAAAGACTTGAATACCATAGGAGATGAAATACAGGCAGAATCCAGCAATATTGGAATTGCTTCCCTAAGGAGAAAAAAAATGTCAAAAAAACCAAAAACAAAAACAGAGCATCATATCTTGTGCTCCAAGATGATTCTAGACTAAGGGTTCTTAAGCTGGGGTCTGTGAGCTTGTTTTTTTAAAAATTATTTTGACAACTACATTTTAATATGATTGGCTTCCTGTAATCTGGTACTTTATTTTATGTACTAATAAGCATTATTCTGAGGAGGGGTCCATTGACGTCACAGACATTGCCAAACTGGGCCACGACACACAAAAAGGACTAAGAACCCCTGTTCAAGATTGACCAAATCTTTTCCCAATGATTAGAACCAATAAATATATCATTTACATATTTATTGTTTTTATTATTAATGTATTTATATTGATATACTTGGAAAAAAACAAAGAAATAGAACCAAAAACCTGATAGTCCCATGATCACAACTCCAGCCAGAACCCGATTTCCTTAAACTTAAGGTATTCTTGTCCCCCTCTTCTCTCACTCCCCTTCTCCTTTCTCCCTTCTCTAACCTGTAAGAGGATCCGGATAAGAGTCTGCAACTGGAAAACCCCACAGACCAGAGAGAGAATCCAGAACAGAAACAATAGCCAGGAGTCCTTCTTCATGCACCATCTCCTGCAGTGATGGATCACCAAAACCAGGAGCTGGAGAGGAAGCCATGCTTTGTAAGAACATTGCTCACTAACAGAACGATGAAATCAACAATGGAGATGAGGAAAGACAGACCCAAGGAAAAATGGTAGCCAGGGATGTTTGTCTCCCTTTCCCCTGGCAGTGCCTTTCTTCCCCATCCCCAGACCCTCGGAAGCATCCCTCCAGTCACCCATCTGGTCATCAGCTAGCAGTGAACTAAACTTAATAACACTTAAGATGTGATAACCTCTCTATTTGAATGGGGAACTGCGAGAGTCAAAAAAAAAAAAAAGACTTCTAAATCCATCAAAATGAATCTATAATAGTGGAATTAAAGACAGATTAAAGATGAAAAGATGTAAGATCTTTGTGCCTACGCCTCCTATTAATATTAGCCAAAGCAAATCAAAGAATCAGAGAAGCTAGCTACCTCATCTCTTCTATTTACTTTTGTGCCTATCAGGGGTGGGGAACCTGTGGCCTCGAGGCCACATGTGGCCTTCCAGGTCCTCAAGTGCGGCCCTTTGACTGAATCCAAATAATCTCCTTAATAAAAGGATCTGTTCTATAAAACTTGGACTCAGTCAAAAGGCCATACCCAAGGACCTGGAAGGCCATATGTGGCCTTGAGGCCACAGATTCCCCACCCCTGGGATGCTCCAGAGGGAAAAAGGAAAAAACCTTCACCTCCTGGTTCTATCATACATTTCCAGGCATATTTCACATTGCTCCCCTTCGCAAACTCTATGTTTCAACAAAGTCGGCCCATTCATTCCCTGAATTTAGCATTGTATCTCCTGCCTATGAGTCTTTGCTCAGGTCTTCCACCATGCTCCACCTCCATTGTGGTTTCTCCACAATCCCTTTTGGGAAGGTTTATACAGATAATACTAGACAGCTTTCTATGTGAGTACTGCCTCTGGCTACCTATGATCAGATTTAGTTTTGGGTGATTATTTTTACATTCATATCAGTTGAATTTCTTTCTCTGCTTAAATCAAGAAACTCACATTTCATCCTTAGTATTTAGATGGGAGAATATAAGAAAATCCGTTTCATACTCCAGGAAGCAGTGTGCAGAAAGAAGAAAGGATTATGGCCTGGGAATAAGGAAACCTAGGTCCCAGTCTTGGCTTTGCCACTAACCATAACCTGGAGCATTTTAACTACTCTGAGCATCAGTTTCCCCATCTGCCCCACTAGGGAGGACATTCTGCCTCAAATAAGCTTGGTTTGGCACCTTATCACAAATTATCACATGTTCCAATTATCTGTGCTTAGATCTTCATCCCCTGTTGGGGCAGTGGCCATTTCTTCTCCAAACTTTGTAATGGGCCTGGAACCTAAAACAGTTATCTACTTAATAAATGTTTGTTGAATTGTATAAAATAAGGTAGTGATTAGAATTTATATTATATCATTCTATTATCCAACTCCTTAAAGCTTTTGATTCACTTAGAGAAATGATTCCACAAACTGATGCCTACCAGAAAGCTAAAAATCTAACATTATCTGTCTCCAGCTTTACCCTGCTTATAACCCACTTCCTGCTGTCATACCAGCAGCTCCTTTAGAAGCAATATTCAAGTCAGAGGGAAGCGGTGGAAAGTCCATCAGACTGGGTATTTAGGAGACCTGAGTTCTAATCCCGACTCAGCCAGTAACTTGCTAGTCATGTATTCTCTGTTCGACTCGGTTCTCTCATCCAGAAAATGGTGAGACTGGACTAAAATATCTCTAAGATCCCTTCTCGATCTAAGATAACTATGATGCAGTGACTCTTGGATCTGGATTCTTCTCAGTTCAACCCAAGAGAATGGATTTCAAGCTCAGAGGTTGCTGATGCTTCTTACCCAGGTGACGATGGAGAGACATGGATTAGTGTACTGAACAGCAGGACCAGGGGTCTGACCCCAGCCCTGAGCAATGGTGAAGACCAGCTCTATGACTGATGTAATCAGGAGTAACACAACAAGCACCTGCAAAGAGAAAAAAAGCTAATGTTAGTCAGAGGCACCCTCTAGACTCCACAGAAGTATAAAGCCGGGGGACTAGATTAGGAGGTTTTAACCTGGGGTCTGGGAACTTTAATAAAAAAAAAATTTTTGATAACAGTGTTTCAGTATAATCCGTTTCATTTGTCACTCTTATTTTTATCTACGCATATTTTTGTTTGTGTTGTATGTATATTTTTAAATTTATATTTTATTTAAAAACATTAGTCTGAGATGAGATCCAGAAGATTTCACCATAATGCTAAAGGGGCCCATGACACCAAAAAGGTTAAGAACCCCTGGTCTAGACTAACGTTCTCTAAATTCCTTAAGCTCTCACTCTAAATCTGTGACCCTTTGAGTCCCTATGGAACCAATTGTCTCTAATACAAGGAATTTGCAAATGATACGCATTTGTTCCGACAGGATATTTAGTAAAATGACTATTACGAGTGTTTGAAAAGATCAAGGCATTAGGGTTCCAATGTCATTCCAATTTTAGACCAATCCTTTGCCCCTGACTCAGGGCTGAGGGCAGTCCCAGAGGGCAGACAGAGGTGAGATCCTCGAGGCTGCCCAACAAGACCCTAGGCGAAAGTGTTGATAAAATGAGTCACTGACTTAGGTGGTGGACATGTAACTGATATATTTTCTGAGACTCCTCCATTTCATACGTTAGACATATTTCAGGGAAGTCATATTTCTTTATAAAAAATAAGCACACTTTGATGAAAATCAACATTTAAGAGAATAAAGATAAAGAAGACTCATCAAAGTTGACTCAGTAGGGCTGGCTGGAGAAACATGAGAACTGAAAGAGTATAGTATAAGGAAAGGAGAGAGAGAAGGAGGAAACAGAGAGGGAAAGGAAGGAAAGGGAGAGAAAGATGGAGAAGGACAGAAAGAGGGAGAGGGAGATAATTAGGAAAGGCAGAGAAGGAGGGAGAGGGAGAGAAAGATGGAGAGGGAGAAAAAGAGGGAGAGGAGGGAAAGGGAGAGAAGGAGGGAGAGGAAGAGAAGGAGGGAGAGAAGAAGGGCCAAGGAGAGAGAAGGGGAGACAGGGGAGAGAAAAAGAGAGAAAGAAAGAATGAGAGAGTTTCAAGAAGAAAGAAGGGGACAGAAGTGTCAAATGCGGGATGAGGACTGAGAAAAATCCCATTGTGTTTGGTGACTAGGATAACCCTTGAGACGGCTGTCCTCGTAGGGCAGAAGGGTAGAAGCTAGATTGTAAGGAGCTCAAGAACAAAAGAGTAGTGACAAAGTAGAATGCCTCAAGAATTTTTGGTGACTGCTTATTGCCTCTAGGATAAAATACAACTTCTCATTTAAAACCCTTCACCACCTGGTTCTATCATACATGTCCAGGCATATTTCACATTGCTCCCCTTCACAAACTATGTTTCAACAAAGTCGGCCCATTTGTTCCCTGAATTGTATCTCCTGCCTATGAGTCTTGGCTCCAGCCTTCCACCATGCTCCACCTCCACCTTAGAAACTTTGGCTTCTTATCCAATCTCTGGCTCGTTTCCAGTACCACCTTCACTTGAGAGCCTTTCAAGATCCCCCTCCTCATCACTGCTCTCTTCCTCTTCAAGCTATCTTACATTTACTTAATCGTGTACATGTTGTATCCTTCCAGTAGCTTTACAGAATCAAGGAATCACAGATTTAGAGCTGGAGGCGATCTCAGAAATCATTTATTTTTTCAATCCCTTTATTTTACAGATAAGGAAATTAAGGTCTAGGAAGTGACTTACTCACAGTTATACAAGTAGTAAACAGCAGAACTAGGATTCCATTACAGCTTTTCTGGAATATCTGAACCATGCTGCCTCTTCTTAAGGGCAAGTGCCCTTTTAGAGGGTTTTGTCTCTATATTCCCAGCCCCTGGCACCATGCCTTGCATATAACAAGGGTTTGACAAATGTTTTTGTTATTGAGTTAATGATGCCAAGTCCTAGAGGAAGCGGGAGATGTGGGGATCCAAAATATTTGGACAAAATGTGGGAATGTGCCTGACAGAGTTTAATAAGACTAAATGTAAACTCCTGTTCTTGGGTTCCAAAAATGCACTGCTTCTGTTACTTAAGATTCCATATCTTCTGTGAGAAAATATTCTCTTCCTCAGCTATCAATATTTAATAAAGGAAAGGAAAGAACTTTGGTAATCATGGTCACTCATGTCCTCACTAGTGGAATTTTTTTTTTTATCACTATCTTCTCCTGAGATAAGAGTGACCAGGCTCAGTTCTACTTGCATGCCAACAGATAAACATTGACCTGAAAACATTACACCCTCCTCAGGAACAAACCTTGACACAGGATAATATGTTCTGAGACTCATGCCAGAGCCCAGAACAATACAAGAAATGTGTTTGGAAGGATCTAAGGAAAATACTGGGGGAGATCATGGTAAAAAAAAAAAGAAAAAAAGGCCACTGAAGCTCTGTGTAACTCTAGTCTGTTGAACATATAGCTATCATAGATAGCTTCCTGGCAAAACAGGTGAGAGACAATATGGTACAATGGAAAGAGTGATGGATTTGGAGTCAGAAGACTAAGAATGAACTTAATCATTGCCTTAGGGCTTTCTGCCTGGATTTTGTTAAGTTGACCTTATCTATGTGTTGTGTCTCATAACCTATGACTAAAGAGCCATCAGCCTCCCTTGATCAGGGAGAGGTTTTCTAATCACTACCTCTTAGCAAGTAGGAGTAAATGGCCTTGAAGCCATGAAGGCTAGAAGATGGTAGCATAGAGAAGCCCAAATACTTCTGAGACCAGCAGAGATCCCTTCACAAAGTCAATATGATGCCCAACAGAGACCAGAGATATAATGTCCAGCCAAGAACAACATGACACAATCATTAGAGAACATTGGCAGCTCTATAGCACAATAGGTATAAGTTACCCTACCCATGTACGTGCCCTAAACCCATAGGTTCCTAACATGTGCATCTTCACACAAGTTCCTTTGGTCATACTTATTCCTTATGAGAGTGCCCTCCATGAATAGTACCTAGTTACACATGTTCTCTCTATGTGTTCTCATCCACCAGTGTGGTGGTAACCAGTAGGAGAGTATACTTGATGTGGCATGGGGGGATTTTTTTAGTCATCTTATTTGTTATGTTATTTGATTAAATACATTTTGTTTTGAAATAACATGTCCACTGGAGAGCTGGAACAAAGTGAAAGTAAGGTTTCAAGAGCTATGGTTGTAAAGGGGGTACTTACCACAAAATGACTTAAACCTGAGATAGCCACAGGGGCTAAATCTTTAAAAAGAACCAAGTTTGAAAAATCATTTGCAAAAGTTAAATTGATTGGAAGCTTTGGCTGCTTAGAGTTTTGTTAACCCTTGGATTTTGTTGGGATATTTCCCTTACTCATAGCATTCTGACTAACCCTTAATATGGCAGGCAACCCTGACTGACTCAGCTCTCTACCCTGTTTCCTTCTAATATTTGTACCTTTTGTCACTTAAACCTCAACTATCATTTCAATCCTACCCCACACTCTGGGACCAGTTCTTTCTTCACCTATCACAGCACCATGCACATAATAGGTGCTTAGTAAATACTTGATGAATTGATTGAACTGGGTAAGGAAACTCAATAGGCTTCCCTTTATCTTATTATATGATGGGGCTTCTATTTATTTTGACCTCATTGACCTCCTCAACCTGGGTAAGGGAAATATTCCCACACAATTCCCTTATTAATAAGCCCTATTTTGAAGTGACCAAGGCTGTCCCTCAATTTAGCTTTTGCAGACTTTTTTTCCAAATGGGATCTTTCAAAACTTCCAAACATTCTTTTCTGAGTATTAATGAATATAACCTTAAAGTATTGGACTTGGGTCAAGTTACTTAAGACTAATTCAAACAAAGCCAATTAAGGTCATAGATCACAAGGACTGTAGATTTAGAGATAGAAGGGATCTTAGAGGCCATCTAGATCAACCCTTTCATTTTACAGATAAGGAAACTGAGGTATATGGAAATTAACTCATTTCCTTAGCCACCATTCCCCTATATGTGTTGTCCTTTATCCAGTTAGGATGAAAATTCCTTTAGGGTAGAAACTATCTCACATATATTTGCATCCTCAGCCCTTGGCAAAGTACTTAGAAATAAATGCTTTTATTCATTCATTCACTCATCCATCCATCCATCCATCCATCCATCCATTCATTCATTGGCTTTTATGGTGGAGGGGAAGAGGGGGATAGTGAGAGGGAATGAGTGAATCTTATTCTCATTGGATTTGGCTTAAGGAGGGAATAATATACACACTCAATTGGGTATGGAAATCTATCTTACCCTACAGGAAAATAGAGGGGGAAGAGGACAAGAGAGCAGGGGGATGATAGAGGGAGGGCAGATTGGGAGGAGGGGGCAATCAGAAGCAAACACTTCTAAGGAGGGAGAGGGTCAAAAGAGAGAATAGAATAAATAGGGGGTGAGATATGATGAAGGGAAATATAGTGAGTTTTCCATGGCATGATTACTATGGAAGTGTTTTGCATCACTACACATGTATAGCTTGTATAGAATTGCTTGCCTTCTCAAAGATGGTGGGTGGGGAGGGAGAAAGGGAGAAAATCTGGAATCCAAAGTTTTAAAAACAAATGTTAAAAAAATTATTTTCACATGCAACTGGGAAATAAGATATACAGGCAATGGGGTATAGAAATCTATCCCACCGTACAGGAAAATTGAAGGGGAAGGGGATAAGAGAAGGGAGGACAGATTAGGGGAAGGGGTATTCAGAATGCATGCCATTTTGGGGTGGGGGAGGGATGAGATGGGGAGAAAATTTGGAACTCAAAATCTTGTGGAAGTGAATGTTGAAAACTAAAAATAAATAAATAAATTTTTTAAAAAAAGAAAGACTTTTTATTCATTCATTCACTCATTCATTCATTCATTCATTCATTCATTGGCTTGTCCCAGATCACTCAGGTAATAAGTATCAGAGGCA